TCCACGTTTCTACCCCTAGTACTATAGATTTAAATATTGGTTAATATTTCTTTAGCACTCAAAAGCGAAAAATCGTGTCTTACGATTTTCACATGCAATTAAATTCAGTATAATTCAGGTGAATAATAGCAAGATAACCTTTTTTTTCATCCGGATTCATTCTGAATTGATGAAACAGACTTTTATCGATTTTGATAAATACATGCAACAATTTTGAATAGTGCGTGTTGTTACAAAAAATCTATTATGCACTGTATTTGCATATTTAAAGCTAATTTATCGATCTCTAATTGGAAACTTGATGTTGTTTTGAAACGTAAAAGAGATTTAATATATTCAACATTGGAATTATATATAAATAGAGAGCATCAGTTCAATCGGGAATGTTAGTCCATTTTGTGCCTTTAACCAGTTCATGAGCAGCATTTCAATATATAATTAATATTTTTATTATTGTACGTTGAAGTGATAAAATAGTGAATAAAATGTATTTCAAACTTTATTTTCTTGCAAGTTTTTTGTTGATTGGCTTTAATTTTGTTGAAAATGTTCGTTGTGCAATTGATCAAGTAAGAATTTTGAAAATATTTATTGGTTTTATGTAAATTACCATTTTTTATATATTTTCAGGTTGAGCCTGATAGTCTTCCGATTCGAGTTAGTGTGGAAATAATCCTTCATATATTTTAAAATTCTTATTAATAAAATGTTATTAATGGATTCGTTTTTTAAAATAATACCCAGGTTCGGCGTCAAATTCCCCAAATTCCTGGAATCCCCGGGGGAATCCCAGATCCCTCATCGATCCCAGGAGTAAATTCTTTCAAAAATGCGGTAAGTCAAACAAAGAAAAGAATACAAGTTTATTGTATTCGCAAATTTAATTTGATTACTTTCATTCAGATTATTACGTTCTTTCAAATTATTCAGGGCTCAGGAATAGCGAAGAACATTCCTGGAGCAGATAATATCCCGGGTCTTCCACGTTCAACACGTTCAGCTCCAGCAACAGGCGTAGGATCATATTAATTTATTCGCAGTTTTATATTTTACATTTCTGCCCCAGAGAGTTTATTTTTTTGTCCCAAACAGGCACCAGATACCGATTCTATTATGATGGCACGCATTAAACGTGAAGCACATGGAACCGGAAATTTACCCACAAAATCTGGTTAAATTTACGTTTATACATACCTTATGCACATTTCATTACTAATAATTTTTGTTAAAAGCAAAATGATTTTCAAAACATTTCAAATAAATTTTCTTCAATTCCTGTTTTATCGCAAATATTTGCATTGAGTCTTATTTTTTTATTCCTCCATTGAATTGATATTCAATTTTAGCGGTGAGTATTTGAAATTTGTTACTTCATTTATTATTCTGCTTAGAACGACAAGTCAGTTCCACGTTATGACATTTGTCGAACCACGCGTTTTGTTGACAGTTGTTAATTACAATTGCGAGTAGATTATTCGAATTGAATGAAAAATAGCTTTGAAAACATAATGGAAGTGATTGAAAAAGTTTCGGAAAATGATTACGAATTAGATATAAATCCAAAGAAAGTATGTCGCTTGTGTTTATCACAACCGCCTAATCTACAAAATATTTTCTCCAATTCTATTGTGGATGGTTATATTATTAGTATTCCAGACATGTTGGCATTTACGGTTGATATAACTGTAAGTTTTGTGATTTCAAAAAAAAATTGATGTTTATTTTCTCTAAGATAAATCTCTTAATTTAGGTTGCGACAGATGACAAACTGCCTAGTAAAATTTGCATCGATTGCAAAAAGCAAATTGTTACTTTCTACACATTCAAACAAAAAACTAAACGAACTGAACAGTCACTAATTTCAATGTTTTCATCCGACACAAATACCGTACAAGAGGTACATGTCATTCCAGATTCGATTCAATGTTCATTTTGTAACGCTACATTTGATACAGAAAATGCTTTTATGCAACATGCACAGCAAGACCATCAGAATATTGATATTTTCGTCGATAATACAAGTGAAAAAATGAAGAGAACCTATTCCAAAGGACAAGAAATTGAGTTTTACGACTTTGATGCGATTGGAAACGCAGAAAATAGCATTGAATCTGATATCACTTCAAAAGTTAATCAAATTGAGGAAACTGACGAGCTGACAACTAAATTCATTGAAGAGAACTTTGAAATGACGAAAAAGTGGAAAATGAAGAAGTATACTGGAAATGTCGTAAACCATATGGATAACAATCTGACATTTGAATGCCACGAAAAGCAATCGATGTCATGGCAAACGCAAACATATAGACATCATAATATATCACATTCAAATTCTCAATCAGACGAAAACAACAGATTAAGAAACGGACAGCAATTAAAGCAGAAAAGAAATAAATTACTTGATTTTATTGCGAGATATTTGCATTTTCCCACATGCCATAGTTGCTGTCTGCTATTCGCCTCTAAAAAGAAGCTTAATGAACATAATTTATACATGCATCCAAAAATGTCATTAGATCAAATCGACGACTCCTACACTGAATATCAAATTCTTTGCGAAGACAAACAATTCCAATCAAAAAAGGGTGAAATTTATTCATGTGCGGAATGTAGAAAAGGAGGTATAATCACTTATCCAATTTTTCCCTTACTCATTGATCAATTTTTATTATTTCCATTCTGTTCTATGTGATTCAAATCCAGGTAGAAAGACATACAAGACTATTGGCGAATTAAAGTATCATATTATGTCACATTCTAAAATATTCAATTGCCCAAATTGTGGTTCCAAATTTTCTAGTTTTGAACACCTTTGTATCCATTTGCTCAACAAACACGTTAATACAAAACACTTGCAATGTATGTATTGTAATGAGTCATTTCACTCTTACAATGAGCTTCAGAAACATCTTAGAAATGTTTGTATAGAAAAAAAATATGAGTGCCACGAATGCGGTAGGTGATTGTTCAGTTTTTTTTGAAGAAATAACCTAATTTGTGACGCATTTTATTCCATAGAAAAAAAGTTTGATTCAAAAAAGGCGTTACAACAACATTTGAAATTGATTGGAAACAAAAAATTCGCATGCAAAATATGTAAGAAATCTTTCAAAAAACGAGGAGAACTTACAATTCACATGCGCTCTCATACGTAAGTTGCATTTTGATTCTTTTTTACACAAATTGCATAATACACAACACTTGAAACGAGTATCTACGATATTTTTTCATTTCAATACGGTACGAGGTTTCTGTAGAATACACGTTAGTTTTGTGTTTTCTAAATCAAAGTTATTTAAAATACGAAATCACTCATTTAGATTTCATTGTACTCAATGTAGTAATTATTCTTAACTCAGAATGAAGTATATTCTATACACTATACACACTATTACTGTAGCCACAACCAGTATTAACATATTGTTTAGGTGTAAAGTTGAAATTTTCTATTACTTGTACAGTAAAAAAATATAGTAAATAATCAATTTTAATTTTGTGTGTATATCGATAGGAATGAACGTCCATTCAAATGCACAATATGCGAAAAATCATACAAGACGAGTAGCATGCGTACGTCTCACATGGACACTCACATCAATGGAAAGACTTTTAAAGTAATTTGAGAAAAAATATATATGAATAATATTATTAAAAAATTATTTATATTTACAGTGTATAATATGCAAAAAAATGCTACAAAGTCGAGTCACACACCGTACACATATGAATCGTCATACGCAAGAAAAACGTCACGAGTGCAGAAATTGTAATAAGCGCTACTTTTCAAAATATCATCTGCGCCTTCACGAGAAGAAAATCCATAAGGAAATTGCTATTAACGATGATGGGGCCTTTAATATTTTGAACGATGACATGAACGATGATGAATTAATCAAATTAATTAACGAAGACGATGACATCATGAATTGTTTTCTAAACATCACCGCAAATGAGTAAAAAACATAGAAACGGTTACGTTGTATACTAATATGATTGCGAAATAATTGAGAGAGTCAATATACCTTAGAACCGTGAAAGGTCTAACCTAACGTTGCTCGTGAATCTGGGCAATGAGTTTCCCTAGTGTATTTTGTATGGAAATTCTCATTTTTCATAAAATTTGTATGAATAATCCCAATTATTTCGTGAATTTTTAATTAAATTTGTATATATTGGTAGGTAATGGAAATGTGGTCAAGTATTACATATTTTCATGCGTATATGTACATAAGTAAAAAACACTTCTTTCGAAGTTCTCACTGTGACGCAATACTGCACATCTGAAATCTGAAAATGATCTGATATAAATTTTCAGTGACGCTTGCAATCAAATACACAAACAATTTTTATATTGCGTTGCCATTTGGGCATTATCACAATGAAAATTTCATTTTTAATTTTCTAAAAATTAGAGAGGCAACGCAATATAAAAATTGTTTGTGTTCTATTTTATTGCAAGCGTCACTAAAAATTTATATCAGATCATTTTCAGATTTCAGAAGTGCAGTATTGCGTCACAGTGAGAACTTCGAAAGAAGTGTTTTTTACTTATATCATTTGTTTTAACATTAAATTTAATTTTTCTGTTTGTAATCAACAACATTTTTTGGCCCGCTTTTGTAGCGCTCGCCTAAATTTTTCATATTCTTTTATTGTATTCAAATATTGATATTCATCACATTACAAATCAAAAATATTTTTATTTATCGATTTCTTGCAATGCACGCCAATTTTTTTTTTTTGCTTTCTGCCATATTTTTATCATTTGTTTTTACATAAAATTAGGATTTTCTGTTTGCTTTCGAAATTTTTGTTTGCATTTTTAATTGTTTTTGTAAAATTTTGAAACAAAAGGAGACATTTCTAGGAGTATGTATGGTTACCAAATCTATTCAAGACTAATTGCACCAATGTTTTAATTCATTTTCTTCAATTGAATAAAGCCCCCAAAATATCATTTCAATGTATAGTTTTCAGGCCGATTATCTCAAAAAATCAAAACAATTTCTGAAAAAGATTTCCCCCATTGGATTTCTTGGGTCAGAATTATGTGATATCAGTTGTTATAGTGAACATAAATTATAAAATCCAAGTATGTTGTAGTTGGTTATTAAAAAAATCTTAAAAAGGTGGTCGGCCAAATACACGCTTTTTCGAATTTTGACGAATTTTTTTGAATTTTGACGAAATTGGTTCAAAATCGAGTACTTTTTCGATCTATGATAAAAAAAAATCGTTATTCACACATTTTTTTTCAACAAAATTACGATTTTCATCGATTTTTTCCCATTTTTTAATAGTATGGTCACAAATGGATTGAACCATCTCCACTGAATTTTTTTCAAAATTTCTTCACTGTATGCTCAAGGGGAGCTCAATGTCTTGCCAAAGAGACAAAAATGACGTATTTTTGCTGAGAAACACCCGGTATTCCATAATATTGAAATTCTCCAACAATCCAAAATGTTCGACATTTTTTTTTTACTTTGGACAAAAAAATTGGTTCGTTACGAATTTTCCCAGATATGACACACACACCCAAACATCACAAATTTGGTCCCCAACAAACGCTCAGTTTTCGACCAGAAAACTAATGCTGTAATTTTCTTAATTTTGGTCGGTGTGAAAAAAGTCATTGTCATTTTTCCAAAAAAAAAAACAACACAATTCAGCGCCATCAAGCGATCATTTTCGAAATTTTTTCCATACTGGCTTCAGATCCGGATAGCTGAGGCTCGTACCTTTCCAACGACATATAGATCATTGCCTCACCTTTCATATGCACAAAAAGTAGGCCATTCGATGAAAAACTGAAAAATTGCATTCCACTTTTTTTCGAACCGCTCAGTTTTCCATCTACTTTCGAATAAAATCGGTCTCCGACGATTTATCAAAAACTACGGAAATAAATTTGCGCACAGACAAACATACCATTTCAAAAATTTCGTGTTATTTCGTAAGATTTTTTGACACGATCATATCTCGGACACTTTTCGATTTTTTTTGAAACTCCACCAGCGGTCGAATTTTGAAATTTTTAAAAATTTTTTTTGCGGATTCTTAATTTGGTGTCTGAGCACTACTAAAATATGCAAAAACCTTTTTCCAAAAGTCAGCGGTATCGATTTTCATTTCATTACAGTATATAATATATACTATATATAGAGTGACGCAAAAATACATATCACATAAAAATATGTGTATATGTATGTTGGTATTGCGTCACTTGGGCGACTGCTGTCCCCCGTGATATATGTATCATCGTTTGCGAAAATATCTTACTACTATAAAAAACCATATTTGTATTTATATTGTGCATTTATGTTGCTCTTCGTAATGTAAATGAATATTTGGCTTTTGTTTACTTAACTCTCATTGGCTAGTTTTTGTGGCATAATGTTTTTGATACAAATCCATTGGAGTTAAGACTGAATAATTTTTATAAAATTATTAAGTCAACAATCGAAAAACACGTACAGTTGAAAACAAAAATCATCAGAAAACAACCGATGTGGTTTAACAAGTCAATGGTAGAGTTGAAGAACAAAGTCAGCTAAGCGCATCAAAATAAAAAATTGCTCAACACAATTGAATCAATAAATTATTATAAGGAAATAAGAAGAGATTACAAACGCTCTGCGCGTTCAGCTATCAAAGATTATAGAATTGAGATGGAGAAGCAGATAGATGAAGATCCTAAGAAATTCTTCAAACACGTGAATATCAAAAAAGGGAAAAGTGAAGATCTACCGCATGAGATGACTTATTTGAATGAAAAAGCAAGCGATCAATCAACAATTGCTAGTTTTTTTGCAAAACACTTTAGCAATGCCTACAGCTCTTTAGAAGGTGATCTGCGATATGACAGCTCGGAAATCGAAAAAATTCATAATATTTGTGCTGAAATAACAATGATCGAAATAACCGAGGAGCTTGTAGGTCAACATATAAGCATGCTGCCAGATGATCTTGTCTGTGGTCCTGATGAAATTCCAAACAAATTTATCAAGCATTGTTTGGTTTCATTGCAGGGGCCAATCTCAACACTGTTAAAAGAATCACTTGAAACTGCCTCTGTCCCGCAGATATGGAGAACGTCATTTGTCAGACCAGTCTACAAAAACGGCGATAGAAACAACGTTCAAAATTACCGAGGTGTTGCTTTACAGTGTATTTTGTCAAAAATTCTCGATTCGATCGT